TATATATATATATAAACAACACACACACACACACACACACACACACACACACACACACACACACACACACACATATATATATATAAAATAATTGCAGAGTGTCTTTTCTTTCTTTCGTCACTAAAAACGAGCGTTCTTTGCCGCTGTTACAAAGCGGTTCGCGCGTTTTGGTCGAAGGCAGGAACATGGACAGCTGCTATTTCACCTGTTCGATACATTATTTAAATGCTTCATCTGCCTCGATGTCGAGATACCGCAAGATAAGCGGTCGGCGTTTCCTGCTTTCTTACGACTATCACGCAAGATTCTCACGAGCTTTTTTTAAGTGTAAATCCATTTTGGTTTCAACTTATCAAATTTTTCAATAATTATGTAGAAAATGTTGAGAAAAATTCCAGAAAAATAATATAATAGCTTGAGAAGTAAAATTTGTTTCTATATTTTATTTAAAAATATATAAATTATTTTATTTCTAAAGATAACTTTTATATATTATTATATATTGTATAAGCTTGTGATTTTATTTTATAACTTTAAAATAATTTTTTTTAAATTTTTTATAAATTTTTTGTTAATTTTACTATAATCTTCCAATTTATTTATGATAAAATCTCTCTAAATACAATTTTATATTTACAAAAGTTAATTTAGAAATAATTTTTAAGAATCGATAAAGATGATTCGTCTCTCAGTTCCAATAAATAAGGGACTCATCTTTGCTACATATTTTATAAAATGATCTATATCGACCGTTCCAATTTTTATGATTACGACTCTCATTTTTGAAAATATGATAGCCGTCACCGCCATTTATCAAAAAACTTGGCACTACTATTCTGTACCATTGATCGTCCACCAATTCTTCAAATGCCGGATATTCGCAAGCTTGGCACCTGTTAATAGATTAAAAATAAATAAAATTAATTATTAATTTTCAACAGATCGCGTAAATAAAATAATTATATCACTAAATATAATCTCCAACTGCCACAAAATAAATTGAAATTCTGCTAATAAAAGATTTTACCTAATTTTAACGTCTACCACAGTTCGTCTTTTATTGACATTTTTGTAAATAATTTTTAATCCAGACCAGACTAGAATTTCATTCATTTGTAGAATCTACAAATAAAAATAAATTTAATTACTTATCACTTACTGTCTACAAAAGAGATTACTGCTATATATTTTTAGCATACTATTTTATAGCATTATTTTATGGCAACCAATTTTGTCTTACAATTTATTTTAAGTTAAAACCTAGTCTATCACTGAACTTCTACAACTTTTTTTTATAAAGCATTGTAAGAATTGTAAGAAAGACTTTAACTGACTTTCTCAATGGACTTTCCAGTCAGTTCAATAGTGTCCCAAGTGTTTTCAAAAGGTTGAACCATCATTAGATCACCGTAAGTAATCTCAGATTCCTCAATAGAAGTACGGATTCCTCCTGCATTCGAACAGGCCACTGCTGCATATGTCCAATGAGTTTTATTTTCAGCGTTATCGACGAACTAAAATTAGTAAGACATAATTTCTAATTTAATTATTTTATCATTTTGATCAAAGATGTAGAATATTGATAGAAATTATATCTTCCGTACCGCATCCACCATGGCATCGGTTATGAGATTTCCCATGTTGCATTCTTCGTAGCGACAATTGCGTTCGAGTAAAACTCTTGTGCTGCCAATTTTTTTCAAAGCAGTTGCATCCACCTCCTTCTTCCAAGGTTTCAAAGCTTCCAAAATGTCCGGATCTAGATATAGCGTATAGTTTAGTTATTGCTTTAAACATGTTGCACTTATCGTTTCTAAGCATGATAAAAAATTTAATCTTTAATATTAATCTTAATCTTTATTAAAAATTTCTTCCATACCTTCCTCAATAGATTGGTCCAAGAGAATTGGATTTCCGTCCCAATCGACGACTTCGCCTTTATCATCGAACCACACTGTCAGGTTACCTAAGTATCTTTAAATAAAAAATATAAATAAATAAAAATAATTAATTTACGTTTTATCTTTCAGACATACAGACATACGTCTGAATGTAACATGCATCAAATACTCTCTTAATAAACTAGATATAGATTTATCGTTAATTTATCCGTTAAATCATTGCAGTATAAACAAATTAATCAGACTCGACCTTGTGACATCAGATAGCAATTGACCTTTTTAACGATTCTCTTCCTATATGTCGGCTGAATAGCGTACTTTGTAAAAGCAGCTGCTTGAACGATAAGGACTGTTCTGCCCGTCTTATTCTGCATCACGACAACAGGATATTCATCTTCTGGCCTATCGATGAAAGGCGGGGGTCCTACAATACGTAATAAAAAAACATAACATTGTATTTAATTATATTGATATACATTTTTCAATGATCTAATCCAATGATTTAATTTTATAGATATCTATTCTCAATATATAACTTAGTTTATATTTGGTTCATATAAGGAATTTTGTTTTTATACCACTATAGAGAAATGTGTGCGAATGACCACCGATGATTACATCGACCAGAGGACATTTTTCAGCCATGATCCTATCCACATCCAATCCACAGTGGCTTAAAACTGTAATAATCTTTATCCCCTTTTCTTTTAATCGCTTAGCTTCTTCATTGACCGTCTCCACTTCATCCAAAAACTTCAATTTTTCCGTATTTGAGAGAAGCTAAAAAAATCAAATACTTTGATAAAATCGTCTTCACGATATCCTAGATAGAGAGAAAACGAGCGTTTTATGAATTAGATTGATAAAATTGCAATTTATCATAAATTAAAAAAAATATCTTTTAAATCATTTATGAGAAGAATGATAACTCACAAATGATAACTCACATTCGTGGTTGATAGAATAACACCAATAACACCAATCTTGGTACCATTTCTCTCAATAATGGTGCTGTTCTTATATAAACCCTAGAATATAATAATATTTAATTTCTACATCTTATAAATACAGACTAAGATATTACAAACCTGTATAGCTGGCTCCTCACTGTCATCGATGTTTGTCACTACAACTGGCGCGTTAACATTTTTAAGAAAGGGAACGAGGCCTTCGATCTTATTGTCGAACTCATGGTTACCGATTGTCTTGCGAAAATATAAAGAATTATCATATATCAAATATACGAAGAAATAAAATGTTTAAAGAGGAGTACCACATTAATTATTTATGTTACATTGATATTTCAGGTTGTCATTTTTCTTACATTTTCTTTTATTATCTACAATTACCATAGCGTCATGTGGCAACATATTCATGAATAAAGCGGTGGCGTTCCAGCGATGAATATTGTACCAGAGAGTTCCCTGAAAGTGATCACCAGCATTTAGGAAAATCGCATTCGGTCGTTCACTCATAAGCTGATTAACTGCAGTGTAGACCCTAGCGATACCTCCCACGCAATCTTCTTCGTGACCCTCTCGGCAGGACCCAGAAAACGGGCCCGTTTGCTCGAACCTATTTCAATGCAACTTCTGTTTTTTTAAAGTCACGCTTCGGCGAACCGTGCGCCAACGAACAATGTGATCACAAAAGATATAGAGAAAGTTAAATGAAAAGCAAAAAAAAAAGAAAGGTTACGGCTATAGAAGTATATTATTATTATTGTTTTAACCTTGACTCCGCAGGTTTCCCTGCGGCTCCAGAATCAATACAATCAATTTCGACATCGTGCATGCTACATCAAGATTTCTTAATAATTTCCTAAGAATCTTCTTTGCAAATTTATATAGAAATATAATTTATATTTTAAGAAAATCTTAATCTAGTTCTAACATATTACACATTATTAATTATACTTTGCAAGTTAGTAATAATAATATAATAGTGTATTTCCACCTTATACTTTGCAAGTTAGTCATAAGTAATAAAAATTAAATAGTATTACTCACCTGGCATGAAAGTCATTTAAATGAATTATTGATAATTCAAACAAGTCCGTTCTGCCAGGATAAAAGAGACCTCGCCCAGTAAATCCCCAAGAAACTTGAAACAATAGTGACAGCAACAATGGTAATGCATACATGTCGCACCTATCGCTAAAAAAAAAACAGACACAATAAACAATTTGTCGATAATTGCCAGGATTTTTCACAAATATATAGTTAAATGCAACAAGGTAAAAACAGCGTATATCGCAATTCTTTGTGTCTCTTCTTGTAATATATTTACAGCTAATTTTATAGCTCGAAGAAAATGCTACACTTTCAAACTGAGATGAACGGAATTCAAAAAAAAAAAACATTCTACATTTACCGAGATCTTTTCCTTAGCTGCCACACGTTACGAATGTACATTGAATTCTTTGTCAACGCGGAAATGATAATTACATTTTTTTCAACGCTCCGTCTTGCCGCTCGAAAGATAATTACTGAGGTAAGATAATGTGGAGAATTATGCAATGTACAAAAGTCAAGACGAAATAACCTTGTAACTTAAATGATCATTATCGAAACAGTGGCATGGCTTTAAAAGTATGAAATAATATAATTTGACATTTTTATCTCTGAATATATAATTGTTATCTTATAATTCAAGAAGTCAAGAAACGTAACAAACTTTTATTTATTTTTTTTTAATCTATCAAATGACACAAAATTATAATTAATTTCTGCAAAATAATATTTAATTAACTATCTTATTAAGTTTATATTTTTATATTTTTATATTATATATATATATATATATACTTGTGTTCGGAGGCTGACTCCTATATTCCTATTTGACATAGAAATTTCTGATTTGTGTAAGTTTTTTCTTATGGTACTTTATTGTAAAATGACTTTATGAGATCAAGAAAAAGAAACTCGCGAGAAAGAAACTCTTATCGAATATCAAAATGCTTTCAAGTTGTTCGCTCGTATTACTCGCACGTCCATTAATACGCGGCATAAAAAAGGCAATCAGCTTCTTGCTTCCATTCCCACTAATTATAACGCGAGCATTGAAACAAGTGAAACAAGTGTTACGAGTTTACGAGTTTGCAAAACGACAAAGATGAAATAACTTTACTGCGTAAAAAAATGCAAAGTCAGCTAATGCGAACGTTGAGAACGGAAAGTCAATTAACAAATAACATAACGTGTACGGTCTCGTAATAAACAATTGCTGATTATGGCGATATCGCTCACTGAACTAAAGTTTTTTTTTTTTTTCAAGATCAATTATATTCAGATAAAATGGAGATTTTCAAATGAAGAACCAAAAGTTTACGGAACGATATGTAAGTACATCTGACCAAATTATAATATACTTTGTTTGTTAATAAACATGAATTACCTTTGTCTTCTAGTAACTCGCGTGTCGAATATTCGAAGAGAACTATATTCTTCGCTATGTCTTCACTTCATCGTGAAGGAATGACGATTATCGGGACTCCCTACCTCGTGAAAGATTACAAAATATTTCACGGAATTGCAACCTGACGACTCGTGTTTACGACATCGAGATTTGACAATCTCATTTTCTAATCTTGATATTCAAATATTAAAAGTATTAATATTATTTTGTAAACATAATTTTATGACAATTATTTTGTATCGTGATATCTTAAATTGAATTTTAAATTTTCTGATTAGCTAGATGACTTGTTTAAATTTAAATGGATTGTATTACACAAAATTCTATACATTTCATATAAGCAAGTATGTAAATAAGTATATTTATTAATTTTTTAAAAATGTTTAAATAAGTTTTTTATTATATTATTTGCATAATAACATGCTATAGAAGGAAACAATATAATAGACACAAGTGATAAACTCTATTTGTTTCAATGTAATGTTATTATAAAAGTGCACAAAATGTTTATCATTATCAGTTTCTTTAAATACTATTTACATATATGATTAATTTATTAATAATATATATGTAGATTTTTAAATGAATTATCTTTTATTCAATATTTGTTATACAATACAATTTATAATATTTCTTATCGTAGTATTTGTTATTGTCTTATACGTGTAATTTTATATATCATTAACTTTAATTATGATAACTACATCTCCATTAATATTCTCCATTAATATATTTCCATTAACATATCAATTTTAAACAAAGATAATATTACTATCGATTTGAAAAATTAAGATCCAGATTATAAGAAAATAAGAAACAGAAAACAAAATATTTAAATTTAAATATATATTTCAAGAATATTCTAGTCTCCGGATAATATTTTTCCGTAAGACTATTTTTTTCTCAATGTCAGTAACTAATTAAATTTCCTGCACAAGAGATATTCAAAATTGTTATATCACATTGATTATAATTGCATAAAAATGCGTCAATTATAAAAAAAAAAATCTCTAATTATCATTATTTGCATAAAAATACAATTTAAAAAATATCTAATAATATTGTTTGACAAAGTGATATACGACAAAACGACACGTCTCGCCGCTAGTTATTTACATAAATTTATGCGCAATTGATAAACTCATGCATTGGCAATGACAAAAGTTTCCACAAGGCTTTATAAAAAAAAAAAGAAGAAAAAAAAATATATAAAGTGTTTATTGAGCTCGAATTAATTAGCACGTGACCATGTCGTTTCTGTATCGATATTAATAATGAGATACCATGCGTAAGTCTACCGAAGATTTATCGCGCTTCTCTCTCTCTCTC